CGTGACCGGAGCGCGGATGAGGAGAGCGGGGGCGGCGAGGGGACTGTGGTGGCGCGGTCGGTCAGGGTGAGGGTGGTGGATCAGGATAACATAGGGTGGGGGCGGTGGTACACGTTAGCGGAGCTGGAGGAAGCGACGGAGGGGTTTAGTGAGGAGAATGTGATTGGTGAGGGTGGGTATGGGATCGTTTACCGGGGTGTTCTGCCGGATCACTGTACCGTTGCCGTCAAGAATCTGCTCAATAACAAGTAATTAGCGCAATTTTCCTTATAAAAAAGAATTGCAGTTGTTGAATTCTAGTACATATGGGAATAATGAGGGTTTGAATAATGAAAGTTCCCGTAGGTTTCTCAGGTTTAAATTTCTCTATGTTATATTGAATTTTAGATAATGATCTTTGAACATTTTTGTTAGTGTGCGATTTATTGAGGGCTGTCGGATCTCATAATAATTGTGCTCGATTTTGAAATAGATTGACTGCTATAATCCATGTTCTTAGAGTAGATTGTTCGGCAAAAGGGTAAAGCTATTTTTAGCTGTTTCTGGCTTAAAACATCATTTCATTTTTTATAGTGATTTATTTTGTGAATATTTTTAGGTCTTTATTGGAGTAATTGATTGAATCCTAGTATAGATTATTCTCTTTGGAATAATATTTTTCTTGGGTTTAAGTGTACAACATTTTAAAGTCTCCTTAGGCCCCTCTAGTTTAAACTGCCTTAAATTGGGATTCTGAACATTTTTATGAGCAATATTCAAAATTGTTGAGGGATGTTGTATATTATTGTTGTGCTTGATTTGATATAAAATATACTGATGTCTTTTTGCATTAGATGTTTCTTCAAAAAATTTTCCTAATCTATTGTAGTTGATTTCATAAATGTTCTTAGATCTTTATTGTAATAGTTTGATTTTGGGGTTTTGTTTATTCTGTTTTGTTAGAGTAAGCTTTGACAAAGGTAGTTTTGTTTGGTACGAAGTATAAAATAATGAGGTGGTTTGTTGCTTACCCTGACTTAAAGTAAGGATATTTCTTAGATTAGTGTTGAGCATTATTTAACTCATTAGCTGGTCACCTTCTCCTTTCTTTAGTAAAAGGATTAATAGCTTCTTACCCTCTGTAATTGGGCTTAAATTATCTTGGTGAAATGTATCTACTTTGGAATTTGATTGTTTTATCTCTTATTTTAGCCGAGATCTTCTAAAAGCAAGTACATTCACATCCCTTTTCTAATTTTATTTATAAATCTTGGATCTTAAAAATGTGACATTCACTTCTTTTCTTCCCCCAAAAGATTAACTTGGATGAAATTTTTGCTAAACATAATTCAAGATGAAATTATTTGGTTGTAACAAGAAAAAATTCAATGCTAGCCAAAATGTATCTACTTTAACCTGTTGTGTCCTAGATTTGCTCCCAATTCAAATGCTTTTTTTAGGCTCACATACTTTGTTCACATTCTCAAGAGGTGTCACTTACGTTTGTAAATGAGTCACTTTCCTTTGCATAATTAATCCTTTAATGATGTAAACCATTTCACTCTTATTCTTGCACGTCTTAGACCATGCTCAACATGATTATGGAGTTTTTAATTAAAAGTAGCAAGAAAAAAGCAATTAGTCACAGAATTAGGTGCTTTAGGATATAATGGGCTTCTGGGGTTTCATTTTTTATCAACTTTATTGTTTCTTACCATGAGAATGACTCTGATAGGGGTCAAGCAGAGAAGGAATTCAAAGTCGAGGTGGAAGCCATTGGCAAAGTAAGACACAAGAACCTTGTAGGTCTAATTGGGTACTGTTCAGAGGGTCCTAAAAGGTAAGCCTTAATCTTATATTAAGTTCAAATGCATCTGATTTAGGATTGCTTTCTTTAGGATCATGTATTACCATGTTGGACATGTCTCTACTATTTGAAACTTGCTATATATGAATATGTAGATAATGGCAATTTGGAACAGTGGTTGCATGGAGATGTGGGGCCAATCAGTCCCTTAACTTGGGACATTAGGATGAAAATTGCCATTGGAACAGCAAAAGGGTCAGTATCTTTCTGTAGACCTGATATTTCCTTTGTTAGATATATTTGAATCATTTATGCTTTTAAAGGATTCACTGTTTCTTAACAAACAGCTGTATAAATTTAGTACTTTAAAATAATGACTATACTTCTTGATTGGAATCTTGTTTCAGAATAGCATACTTGCATGAAGGTTTAGAGCCTAAAGTTGTGCATCGCGACATCAAATCCAGTAATATTCTTCTTGATAAGCAATGGAATCCTAAAGTATCGGATTTTGGACTAGCCAAGCTCTTGGGACCTGGATCAAGCTTTGTAAATACACGTGTAATGGGAACATTTGGGTAAATTCAGTTACTTTTATTATTCATCTTAATGTGTTTGTTAATTATTCCGTGATCACTGCTTTACTACGTTCTCCATTAAGTTTGGTACTCATATGAGTGCTAGACTTTTAACAAGTGAATTTATGTACCAAAGATTGCTGGAATGTTAGTCAACTTTCTAATAAACTTCTTTTCTAATGTTTAAACAGGTATGTAGCTCCGGAGTATGCATGCACCGGCATGCTTAATGAGGGAAGTGATATTTACAGTTTTGGAGTCTTATTGATGGAGTTAATTACAGGAAGAAGTCCGATTGATTATAGTAGACCACCTGGAGAGGTGATTACAGTTTATATTTCTCTTCAAATATTTTTAGGGTTAATTGCAGATGACCCCCTGTACCATCGGTCGATTGTTGATGGACCCCTGTCTGTTGTTGTGGATATACCCCCTGTACCATCACCCAATTGTAGATAAACCCCCAGAGTGAATTTTTTTGACTTGTTTACCCTCAGGAGGTCTTTGTTTAAAAAAAAATTCACTCTTTCTTTGAGGGTAAAAGAGTCAAAAAATTTTACTCACGGGGTCTATCTGCAACAATAGGGCTACAAGGGGACTATCCACAATTGGGCATAGTACAGAGGGTCCATCCGCAATTGACCCATACTCTTAAGATATGCTGAACATCACAAGCCTGATGAGATTTCAAACCACAGGTGAACCTGGTAGATTGGTTCAAAGGAATGGTAGGCAGTAAACGCGGAGAAGAAGTGGTTGACCGACGTATTGATTTTCAGCCCTCACCTAGAGCTTTGAAGCGAGTGTTGCTAGTTTGCCTGCGTTGTATAGATTCAGATGCTTATAAGCGACCAAAGATGGGGCAGATTGCACACATGCTTGAAGGAGATGATTTTCCTTTTCGCATGGTAAGCACATATCAGAAGGTACATTTCATCTATTTATATGAAGACACTACTTGCTGCTTATTTCAAGAGGTGCACATAGCTGCATGATCAATAAAGAATAATCAATGCTTTTTTTTCCATATACTTTCCTGAACAATAACCAATGCTAATTTTTGTTTGGGAAGTTTCTAATTGTGCGTTAGCCTTCACTTTCTTTTTTGCTTATACTGTTATGCAGTAAGTTCATAGGCTAGGGCCTTGTTCAAATCTTAGAGGGGCTTAACTCTTATATTATGTGTGACCTCTAAATCAATGGTAACGAGAACACCTAGTTTTGAGAATAGTAAAACAGTGAAGAAAAAAATTGACATGATTTAGCAATACTCTAAGAAGACAGAAACAATGTTTAATGTCTGTGGAATTATCGAGGAATGTAGGAACTATAGAGGACTGCTTTAGTGAATTGTTGAAGAAAGTTATATTAACTGATGAGCTGAGGCATTGTCCTTACTATCTGCATGTTGTGTTATTCTGGATGCATCATAGTCGATATTCCTATTATAGCGTTTATTTCACGTGGAGTATAAATCCAATGTCACTATTTCACCCAATTATCTTACATAGGACAGTCAGGGCATTTGTCTACTATTGTTTAGTTGTTTACTTTGTTTTTATATAGACAAATTTTTGGCACATGCCACCTCTAACTTGGGTTGCGCAAAATTGGAGATCTATGCGAAAGCATCATTGAACACCCTAATTAGATCACCTCATCCTTTGTAAACCAATCAATCACCAGATGATGTGGAAACATTGAGAAAAGACTAGTTTGAACAAAAGAGTAAAACAATTACCGCAGAATAATAGACTAGGAGACAAAGACACGGAATTTACGTGGTTCGGCAATCGCCGGGAAGATAATTGTCGTCTTTTATTCCAGAGATTACAAGATAATCTATTCTTGTGATCTAAGATATATCCCACAAGAAACCCTCTCTCAATCTCACTAGAAGATCTCTCACAAAACCCTAGATTTCCCCCTTAATTCTCTGTTTCTCTCTTACAATATGCAACTCTCATTGGCTTTTCTATGACACAATGAACCTCTAAAGGGGTATTTAAAGTGCTTTCCCCTCTCTTGAATTCATGTAGGACTCCTTTGACTTGGATTATCAATTCTAGTTCTCTTCCAGTTAGAATTTAAGTCCAATTGTAATTGATTCTTTCCCATCAAATTCAATCCACAATCCAAGTCCAATTAGGATTTCTTGAAATACAAGGCTCTTTCCTAGTATAAACTCCCTTCCATGTTCCCCCATTTTCTCTGCTTACAGAAATTAAATAAAGTCTGACATAGCTCAGAGAACAAAAGTTCCATTTTGTTGTCCTGTTGGTCAGTCTATACCACTCCATCATGTCTTTAACCTCTACTACTTTATACTATACTGCTAACCATTGAGTCTTCATATAGTCAACGGTGCTCTTTATTTTGTGTCAGATGAAACAATATCAGTTCAGCTCTTGATCTAGACTTCGTAGTATATTGATGTTAAGATATACTCAAAAGTGCAAGGTGGTCCTATTACATGGTTATTTTGCTCAAAGGAGCTTTAATGTTTTTTTTGGTTCTTATTTGTTTGATCTTTTTCCTTATAAATTCTAAGAGTTCTACCGGTTACCTGTTGCCAGATACTGTAGTTCTAGATATCTAAGAAGTCTTGATGATATATGCCTCAGTTTGAGAGTTACAGTCTGTTATTAAGAATCCATAACTGTCTAATTTACCACTGAAGACTGAATAAAGCAAATTTCACCATGAAAGAGATCAAGCACGTTTAAGCTTTGAGTATGACCAGGGATTATTATGATAACTTGAACATTCTAAAACCTAAGTGGCTGTAGTGATAATTTTCGCAAAAGGCAGAGCGAATGATTTGCATGGTAGCACTCTGAGAACTATGATACTTTGCAAGCCATAGAGATCAACTGCTTCATATAGTAACATTATCTTTTCGGACCTGAAACTCTAGATGCTCAAATTAGAGAAATTTCATGCTCATCAATACTTTAGTTTCTGTCTCCATTTCTGGTAATATATATGCGCAAATTCTGATCTATTTTTTTCTTTTGACCATGCGACAAACCTATCCACGATGACATTTTGAGTTTCCAAAAATTTTAATAAAACATGAAGAAAGTGTGATGAAAGTTTATTCTTTATCTTGTGACTTGATCATTTTCAGGTTGTTAGAGAAATTATTTTATGCTGGAATTTATCTGATCTTATCCTTTTTTTAAAACTAAATCTGATTAATTACCCTTCTGCAGGAACAGAGATCACCCAAAGAGCCATCCCTTGCTCCTGCAAGTCCTTTAGCAAGTCGGAAGAGTCAACTCCAACCTCAAAAAGATGACGACAATGACTCAAAGAGGGCAGTATGGACCTGATTCAGAGAATTATGGAGACATTGTGTTTGTACATGTAAATTTTGGAGAGATAATTATTTTCTTTTCCTTTTCTTTTTTCTTATTCCCCGCTTGCAAATATACAATTCTTGCTTCAGCATTGTATTTAATAAGCTTGTCCATTTCTAGTTTTATTGCTTCCATGTATGATATCAGATTGTTCTCTGTGCATGTTCTTTTTTTGAAATAATGCTAGAGGCACACCATGAACCACACTCTCAACCACACCCCTACACTCTATAGTGTTAGTGGACCATGCATGATATTTTTAAAAAAATATCATGCATGGCCTACTAGCACTATAGAGAGTATAGGGGTGTGGTTGAGAGTGTGGTTCATGGTGTGCCTCTAGTGGGACTCCTTTTTTTGGTTGTTCTGCACTTTCACTTGTACACCATTTTGTGGTTGGGGGTGGGTGGTCGTGTTAGTCTCCTTTTTGTTTTTGAGGAGGATATCTTGACAAAATTCTTCCTCAGGTTCTCCAACTAAAATAAAGTTCAGGATCATGGAAATAACATATAAATAGAGTTTTAGCGCAAATTACATCCTGAAAGTTTCTGCCAAAAGAAAATTACTGGATCGCAAATAAAGTAACACATTATTAAGCCAAGAAAAAAAGAACGATAAAAAAGAGACTTGAGTCTCATAATTATCTCCTTAAAGAAGGAATTTTATTCAATTAAGCATGGGAATCCTAGTTGCATGCTGAATCCTAGTTGCATGCTGAATCCTTGGATAGGTTCCTCGCTTTCTCCTTCTCATTCACCTCACTCACTTGGGACTCGTCAAACTATTTTGACAACAAAAATAAGAGGAGTTCAAATTTAAACGAAATGTTTGAGATAATATTTTAAAATAAATATTAAATTTTATTGGGAAAAAATAAACTTAACAAAATTAATGGGGAAAATACCAGGTCTGTTTTCATTGATCTCCTTGCGATCTTCGTCAAGTTTCTGATTTTCGGAGTAGATTCCTCCAAACCCTTCCTCATCAGAGCGTGTAGCATCTCTCTCTCCAAATGATTTAGACATCACATCCCTAAACCAGAAATAAAACTTCTAAGTATCATCAAACTGATTTGCTCATTTAAAAAACACAAATATATATTGTGGGTTTGCTAGTTCAAAGTTTAATTGTGATTTAAGTGAAATTATGAGCTTCCTTTATTCCGAATTGTTAAAGTAAGAGAGAGAGTCTTGGGTAAATTTCTCTTGAATCGAATATTGAGTGTGTACATATATATATCTACCCTTTAAAAGAGGGAGTACTAGAAAAATTTTTTCTACCCCAAATTACCCTTCAACTATTGTAAATATAACAAAGTTATCCTCATCTTTCATTCTATTAACTTAACAAAGGTACATTTTTCGTTACTCACAAATCAGAAGATGTAAAGCCCTAAATCTTCGTTCCCTCACTTCTCCGTTCCATCAGTTACGAACTTCCTCCGGCAACGCAGTCCCACTCTCTCTACCTCATCAATTGTCGGTTATCAAATTGCAAAGATGAATATTATCATCGTCAAGAAGCTTATTATTAGCCTCATCGTCCACAAACCTTAGGCATTAGGAAGGATCAGGAGAAATTAAGAAATCTCAGAAGTCGCAAGTTACTTGAAGAATTCCTCCGCTCCCCCTTGATTATAGCCTTTCTCTCCGTCGGGTACACTTTCGGCCTCCTTTCTCTCTCTCCCCCCCTAATCCCTTAATTAGTTTATGATCAACTCATCTTTCTTTTCCCTGCAACCCTAATGCAAAAACTAGGAACTAGAATGATCATGCAACACCTCGTGACTGCCCTAACCTAAGATTTAATGTAGAATCGCAAAGGGGAGAGATACTAAAGCATCAAGAAGAAGCCCCTAACCTAAGATTTAATGTAGAATCGCAAAGGGGAGAGATACTAAAGCATCAAGAAGAAGCATTTCCCATCATATGATTTTGGGAAGCTACTGAAAGGGGAGAGATACTAAAGCATCAAGAAGAAGCATTTCCCATCATATGATTTTGGGAAGCTACTGATGAACTCATTGCATTTTGGAAGTAAGCCTAACACCAACCTAATTATTTTGTCTAAAGAAATTTAGGTTCTATGCATTAGAATTTAGTTTCTTTTCTTGCACTGCAATTAGTTTTTATGGCAATTGACATTTTCATAAAGTATTTAGAGGATTAATGATTTGGATGTTGCAGGTTCTCCCATCCATCAAGGTAAACCTTCATATTTGATATCTTATTTGATTATATATTTTATTTGATTGAACCGAAATAGAAAACAGATACCTTTTTTTCCCTTATGCATGCTTTTAATTAGTTTTTGTTTTTGCCTAGTCTAAAACACATCCATATTCAATTCAGTCAAGGCTCTCTTAGCATAAGCCATAAGGCATAATATTTTAACCATGTAATCTGTGGCTTTACACTTGATAAAAAAGTTTTATTAGTGTGCTTTTTGTTTGGTGTCTAATATCAGCTTGATCTTATGAAATTTTGTAGTTGCTTGATTGCTTGAATAAATTTACTGTTAGAAAAAGGGGAAAAAAAGAAAGAAAGAAAGGATGAGTCTCTTATAGCTGGGTTCTATGCTCTTTATTTTTCACATGAATTTGGTTAATCATATGTTTACAGAGCACAAATATGGAGAGTTAATTGCAAATGTACCCCTTGTGGTTTCACCTAATTGCAAGGAGACCCTGGTAGTTCTATTTGTTACAAACAAAACCACTATAGTTCTACTTGATGCAAATAGACCTCTGAGTGAAATTCTTTCTACTATTAAATTTGTTAAGAATGTTTGAGGAAGTCTACAGTTTATTGGTGAGAATTTCACTTGCATTTTTTCACTTTTTGAATCGAAAGAATAAAAAAAGTTCACTTAGGTGGTGTATTCGCACTTCGGCCAATACTTCAAGGGTCTATTCGCAACATTTTTCTCTAACTGTACATGCAATGGACAATACTCATTTTTGGTGTAATGGTTTGGTTATCTCGCCATATTTTCATTATGTTAAAAATCCCAGGAATATATGCATCTATTGAAATTGCAAGCTATATTAAAGTTTGCTCATTAGGTAATAATTTATTACCAAAAACTTTATATATATGGAGCATCTTCATGTCTTATTTTTGTTCTGGACATGCTGAATGTATTGAAAACCTCAGAGGCTCCTGAACATTTTATTGTAAAACCCTTATTTGTTTGTAGCGACAATCTGTATTCTTATAAACAAATATTATATGTATATAGTGTGTAATATCTTTAATTTGTGCTATTCAAGAAATTGGGTCATTTCATTTCAAAGATCATATGTCTTCAACTATGGATATTATCCACAGTATGAAGTGCTTCATGTGACGCCCCTGGGTTCACACAAGGCTGCAGTCCAAGATGAAATCAAGAATGTCAAACCTGCCTGCACCACACCGTGCAATATCATGTTTCACCATCACAATTCTATCACTCTAGTGGAGTCAATAACAGGTGTAGGTACAAAAGCAAGTAAAAGATAATATAAGAGATGACCGATGAAATGATAGATATCAAAATAATATTTCATCATCCAACGTACAGAAAAACAAAGTCAATGTCTGAAATGAATAAACTGGATTTCTTAACAAATCTCAAATACAATAAGTCTGAGTAAAGGAAATAAGGCACACAGCCTTTATAACATCTAGAATAAAATCCTCAAAGGTCTGAACAAAGTCTACAGTGGAACTCCATAAATAAAATATAACTAAATAGACAGCTGAAGCTATAGTGCATCGCCATCAACCTGCGACTCTCCGGGCTTCTGGCTCGTTACCTGAAAGGGGGAGGGACAACGAGCGTCAAAGCGCTAGCGAGCAACATCACAACCAACCCCAAGGAAAAGGGCTCGTTGTATACAAAAGATACAATTATTTCATAATAGTTAAAATCTTTGATCCTAGCAAATAATGGGTTTTAGTATTTAGGAAATTACAACACGAGCGTAGGTACGTCGAGCGAAATAATCCAAACAAGGAAACCCTCATGTATATACCTTGTATCTCAAATTGTAAATCCCTAAACACTAAACCCAAGATCTAAAACAGGAACAATAATAAAGAGAAATACAACTCATTTCAGAACTTAAATACTGTGTCATGTCATAACCAAATAAGTGTCAAAGGTCAAAATTACATAAGTGTCATGTCCAGCCTAGGTAGCTATCATGTCTAAATCTCATGTAATCATGTCATGTCCTGATTCAGATAAGTGTCATACTCATAGCTTAACAAATGTCCACATATGTTCTAATAGGTAAATGTCCAACACAAGGACTGAAATGGATTATAGTCCAACACGAGGACTTTAATGGATTATAGTCCAACACGAGGACTGAAATAATATAGTTTGTCCAACACATGGACCAATTAGTAAATATCAATGAGGCATGTGAAACGATACACTTATACAAATTTCACACGCGTCTCGGTGTATGATTCTAAACTGGTGTCCTCAGCGTCTCGGTGTATGATTCTAAACTGGTGTCCTCAGGTCATCTATCATGCCTGTATAGATAGAAAAAACTGAAATCTAAATATCAAATAATCGAGGCAATCCCTCGAACACACAAAAATACACAACAAGAACAACTGTGCACCAAAACTGTGCGGCGGTCGACCGACCCGGTCGACCGCACTCAGAGTAGAAACTTACTATGCAGCAGAAAACCTCACGGTCGACCACCGCGGTGTGCGGTCGACCGCCAAGACATCGCGGTCGGCCGACCCGGCCGACCGCGCAGTGGGCAGACGAGTTCTGCCCCTTCTACGCGCCCAGCGGTCGACCGGTGCGGTCGACCGCAAGGCAGACAGAGGCCCAGATCTGGGTTTTTCTTTCAGCTTCGAAACCTGTATATTCCATTCTCTCTTTGAGTTTACAGCAACATAGCATTCTTAAAATTTCATATAATAGATAAAAATGAAATTTTTCACATTTAGAAAACATTACCAAGATCCCAAACATATTTCAACATGATCTATATATTATTAAAACAATAAAAGATAGAAGTTTACTCCTTTTAAAAACATATTCAGATCTAGATCTCTTTAATAGAATTCATTGGTGAGCTTTTAAAATATGAAACACCTGAATCTCATAATATATGCTATAA